AATTTATGTTGACCTTGCACAGGAAATAATTAATACAACTTCATCGTTGAAAGAACTTGGTCATTTTAAATATCGCGATTTTCAGGAATCTGTAAATTCTGATACACTCAAAATGAAAGAATTGCTGCAGCGTTTAATTGGAGATTTACAAGAATGGAAAAAAATTGTCAATGAAGCGCAACAAAAACATTATTATTTGACATTCTTCCTACCACAACATATTTTATATTTTTATGATTATTTTTCGTGCAATAGAGAAACCACGCGATCCGATATAAAAGAAAAGTGTTCGATGCTTTTAAAATTGCCCTTGATCGTAATAAAACTGAGTTGCCATCTGTAGAATCTGATGCTCTTAATATTCCGCTTATTCCTGAAAATTATTTGGATATTCTCTACAATATTGGTATCAAATTATATGATATTTTCAGTAAAATACCTATAACACAACGTCAAATAAAAGCTCATGTTGAACCAAATATAACAGATATGGTCAACCAGGGACAACTTTTCATTGGAACATGCAATGATAAATTTTTGGTGCCTAATATTATTATGTCTTTATACTATTTGCATAATAAATGTTATCCAGAAGCATGGCAGCTTCTAATTTGCAAACCTTCAACTAAATTAGAAGAACTTTTAACATTTACAAGGCGTTGTTTTTTTGCTTCAGAGAATGAATACGAAAAGTACTTATTTTGTATTGCAAATGTGGAGTTTTTGGATTTTGAATTGCAAAATCAGTTAGTGACAGAAATACATTCTCTTTACGATAAAAAGAACTTTTATTTAGCTTTAATTTGTTGCGAAAATGGCATGCGTCATCATATCATCGATCAATTTACAGAATGTGTACATATAACTAAAGGAATTGATGCGGATTCAATGTGCAATATTTACAAAGAATTATGTCCCAATGTACAGACAGTTTCTTCGGATTTATCAGGGCAAGGGAAGACTAAATGGATTGAAAAAAATAGTTCTGAAAATGAACTAAATCCTCGAAATTTTTTGATTAGTGACGGGATGACATTTGGAATGCTTGTACGGCAATTATCAGAAATCACGTTGCAAAAGAACGAAAGCTTGCATTTAAATATAATGTTGATAAATCATCCTTTCGATGTAAACACATTTCTGTTTGAATTGCTTTCCTTTAAAATTGTGTGGGATAAGACATATTTTTTTAGCATCCCATCAACATTAATATATATAGAGGTGGCATCGACAATAAATCAAGCTTTATTTAATTCAATTCCAATCACTGGTCATTTAATAAATAAACATTTGACGTGGAATATCGAAAATCTTATTGTATCTCATGATGTGAATAGCTCAATTCAAATTGTTGCCAAATATTTGGATGCGCACGATTGTGATGTAATCAATACGGTTGACCTAATCTTTGAGGACGAAGAGCAACAGCCTCTTTCTGACACTGATGTAATCAATAGAGTTGACCTAATCTTTGAGAACGAAGAACAACAGCCTCTTTCTGACTCACGTTGTCGTAAATTGCTGCAAAAGTACTTTTTTGACAAGTGTTCTCAGGATATAGTGTCATATCGTTTCCTTGAAATATTTATTAATGTTCTTGCAAATCAGCTGTCTCAAATGTCATCTAGCGCATTTTTTCGTGTGGACACATTAAAATGGATCAATGCGGACAAAAATATCCGGAAAACATTATTGGAAACTTTCATAGAAGTTTCCAAAGATTTTGCAACTCGTTCAGTGGACTCTAAGGTGGCTCAATTAAAAAATTTAACAAACTTAGAGGATATAGCAATTAGTAATAATATTAGACCATGGGAAGATTCGAATCATTTATTAGTATTTTTCTTGTCTCAATCCACTGGTTCTATCTGTGCACTTTATCGTGATAAGTATAAGGTTCCAAGAAATGTCGAAAATCTGCTGAGAAGCCAGCATACTTCAAGATCTCTTTGGAATAGGTTTACATTGGATGATTATAATAAAATGTCTTCTGAAAGCATTTTAATGAAGTTAGAAAGCATGGCATGCGTGACATTTGAGAAACGTGATTATCCTCTATATGCACTTTCTGCAGATAACCTTTTGAAGATGGCATTAGTTTTATTACGATCAAGGGCAAATATACCGGTAGTGGTTTGTGGTGAAGCTGGATGTGGAAAGGTATAATAATTTTTAAGATTTTAAGTATATTGAAGTTTATTGTATTTGATCTATGACTGATAATAATCCATCAATTTAGACAAGTCTTATTCAATTTCTTTCAATTGCTGTCAGAGTTGAATTATTAATTCTAAATGTTCATGCTGGCATAAGTGTAAGGGAAATAGTTGGGTTTGTGTCAGAAGCAGAAAAAATTGCAGAGAAATGTGAAGTATGGTTATTTTTTGACGAGATAAATGCATGCAATCATATTGGCATTCTTGCAGATTTAATTGCTCACCGGTTGTTTCTTGGTTTGTCTAATTTTTGTTTACCCTTACCATTTTTATTGCAAATGTGACAAAATTTAAAAAATTTTTATATTTGAATTCAAACTTTTAGGCAAGAATATTCATGAAAATATTCGACTCTTTGCAGCTTGCAATCCTTATCGATTGCGTCAAAAAGCTGATACTCAAGCAGGTCTTTCAAAAAGATATGAAGAGAAAAGTCGTCTCGTATATCAAGTACGACCACTTCCTGATCAGATTTTGGATTTTGTTTGGGATTACGGTGCTTTAAAACCTTCTGATGAGAAGATTTATATCGATACAATGGTCAAAAAATTTCTTGAAGATTCACATATGGACGTGAAAACAGATTTATTTGTTGAACTTTTGTTTGAGTCTCAAGAATTTATTCGAGATCGTGAAGGGATACATAGTGTCAGTTTACGCGACGTGAAAAGAGCAATCATCATATTTAAATTTTTTAGTGAAAGTCTCAGAAAACGACAAGAATTAGCTGGTCCTGAAAAAAATCAATCAATTTTAGCATCATTTTGGAAAAATTTGAAAAAAATTGCAAAAAACAACGCATTTTATGGTAATGAAATCTTAGGAAATATCGTCAAATCATATATATTAGCATTAAGCCTTTGCTACCAAGTTCGCTTTTTTGAGCAGGAAATACGTGACCAATATCAAACTAGGATGTGTGGAGTGTTTGGAAGATTTGGGATATCAATGAATCATCAAACTTTTGTGGAAATCATTCAAGAAGAACAAAAAGATTTTATGAAACGTATGACGAAACCGGGCATGATTGCTGAAAATTTTGCTCTCCTCGAGAATGTACTCGTGATGACCGTGTGTATATTAACTCGTATTCCACTATTTATAATTGGTGCGCCGGGGTAAGTAATTTGCAATTTTTTGTATATTATGATTATGTTCTATCAATGCTCAAATTTATCAATACATATTTATTTGATAGTGCATCAAAATCTTTAGCCATTCGTATAGTTAGCCAAAGTCTCCGTGGAGCAGATTCTGAAGATCTTTATTTCAGGACTCTTCCTCAAGTAAATAAATTTGGAGTTGCTTATTTCAGTTATTTATATTGATAACAAATTTACACACAGTTTGCTTTTTGCAGGTATATATAATTCCTCATCAAGGATCATCATCATCTACGTCTGATGGTATCATTAAAGTATTCGATAAAGCACATAAATATCAAAATGAGTCAAAAGATTTTCAATTAATCGCCGTTGTCCTGCTTGACGAAAGTAAATATATTTCTTAGTAGTACTTTCTATAAAAAATTTACTCTTAACTACGATGCTTTCCTTTTTAATTAGTCGGGTTAGCTGAGATGAGTCCTCATAATCCACTAAAAGTTTTACATTCCATACTCGAACCAAACTATCCTGCTGAACTTCCAGAGGTTTCTATTATTGGAATCAGTAATTGGAGACTTGATAACTCTAAATCAAGTAGAGCTTTATTAGTACAAAGGTTTGTAAATATTTTTGAATCATGTTATTATTGAATTTCCGAAAAATTGGTTTAAAATACTTTGTCATTATTAGACCAGAATTCAAAGAAAAAGACCTTATTGATACAGCAAAACGAATATTAGGAGGGAAAGCCGATTCAACCAAATTCAATGCCTTGGCTAATTCTTATCTTTTTTATGAGAAAGCTCAACCTATTGCTAATTTTCACGGGCTTCGTGATTATTATTCATTAGTTAAAAGCCTCGGTAAAGAGAAGGTATCGCAAAGTCTTTATACGTTTGCAAGTGCATAATCCTTCATTTCATAAAAAAAGTATATGCCTAACCATGATATTATTTATTAACGTTAATAGCTTACACCAGAATTCATACAAATGGCATTATTAAGGAACTTTGGCGGGACTGATCGAATGGATGATCTCTGTCAGAGACATTTTAACGATGTTATAAATGCATTTCATGGCCGTCCTATTAACAAGTACATGAAATTCTCGGTCGAGGATCTTATTAGGGCTAATTTAGAAGATAAAAGTGCACGTCATTTAATGGTTATTGGGAAAAGTAATTCTATAGTAAATCTCTTGACATATAAATTGAGAAAATGGAATAAAGAATTAGCGGATAAAGATTCTAAATTTGATACAAATTTAGAACCTGTTGTCATTTATGGCAGTCAATTTCCTAATGATTTCGATGGAGATTATCAATATAGTGTGCTATGCCGTATTATGGTATGTTATTAAAATATCCATTGCTACAGTGTCGTTACATAGTTAATATTTTATTAATGTTCCAGATGTGCGTTGAAACGGGAAGACCTTTAATTTTAACAGATCTCGATATAATCTACGGTAATAATTATTATATTTTGTATAAAATATATTTATACTTAATTATTTTACGAGTTCATTAACACAATATTTTAAAATTTATAGGAAGTCTTTACGATTTATGGAACCAAAATTACATTACTGTAGGAAAAGAAGGAAACCAAACATTCTATACACGTGTTTCGTTGGGTGCTTATTCGAACCCTATGGTGTGCGTTCATAAAAATTTCCGATGCATCTTAGTCCTTGATGAAAAAAAAGTTGATTTTTCAGATCCACCACTCTTGAATCGATTTGAAAAACAAAGTTTTTCTATTAATGATGTCATGGATGATAATATGAAAAGATTAGCCAAAGAACTTGAAAAATGGTCCAATCAGATAGGAGTTATTGCTGAATCAGAATTTAATGAGAAAGACATTTTTGTTGGGTTTGATAAGGAGGAAACATTGCAAAGTTTAGTAATTTCCAATAGTAATGATCCAAAATTGAATGATAATGATATTTTGAAAAAATGTAAAGAATTGTTAATGGGCATTGCCTTGTCAGATGGAATTATACGCTCAAAGAAATCAATGGTAAATAGTAATGAAGTAGAGTATTGGTATAATTTCTACTTTAAACAACGTCATGAAGATCTTTCTAGCTATATTCAATCATCGGTGAATGATTCTGTTAATGAGCAAGGAATCAATACAATAATATATACATTTTCAAACGTATATATTGATATTGCATCTTTTTTAAAAAAGATTATGAAATGCCAGGTTGATAAGCTTTCAACATTTAAAAGTGAAGCACAATTTCAATCCCGTATTAGACATTTCTGGCTAGAATCTAAAGATGAACTATTGATTTTACAATGTGATGTTGCCACATTGAATTCTGGGTGCATCAAGTTCGCAAAGTTTATTATTGAACAATACAGAAATGAATTCATGATGACAAATAAATTCGACAAGCCAATAAAGCATGCATGTATAATCCTCCATTTAAAAAGAGAACACGTCACATCGATAGTATCACCATTTAATTTTATGTGTGGATGGGATCAAATTACTATTGAAACTTTAGACCCTCAAGAATATCCACTTATAGATTATGTGAATAATAGTTTAGTGAATATTCTGAATACATCATTTAAATTTGAAGAAGTTATCAACCGTGAATTATTATGGTGTTTACTTTGCATGAAGTTTCCACAAACGTATGAATCAGCAGAATACCTAAAGTAAGCTTTTTTTTTTTATTTCTTTGGAAATATATTACATATTCCTATTAAAAATTATATATATATTTT